TTTTTATTTGGTATTTACTTGCTTAGGCTGTCAGAAGTTTCATTCTTCCACCATGATGCTATAGTGTCAAGACGATTCCATCTGCCTTGAACATGCACCTTTCTCAACAAGTGAATATTCTCTAATTTAATTAATACACAATTAAATCTCTCTCTGGAATGAAATACTGCACTCTTACATCACCCTTGTTCGAATAAAAATTTCTCGCTCGAAGGTTGCCCATTTAGTCAAGCCTCCGTCGATCGCTATTACAAATTTCCATTTCACCGCAACTGTTTCACTCATTCGATCCAACTATTTATCAATTGTTATTGACACGTTACTTGAACAGCCTCTTAATAAAAACTTGCTTTGTCTATTTATCACCCCTGTATTTTGAATTTGATCATATTATATTGTAAATTATGTAAATGATGTACGACTGAAAAATAATCGACGAAGGCTTACTGTCACACTATCAACTTGTACTAAAAAAAAAATTGTACTAAACAATGCATTCTATCGTTTATCAAAATGATTTCACGGTCTTATTTGCAGCGTTTCTTTCAAAATTCACTATTACAACGGAGAAACATCCAGTCCACCAAACGGAAGCACCGATCTTATCGTCCACGAACGCAACGAAGTGTGCAATAACCTGGCTGGCGTTACACTTTTAGACAACTTCTTTCAACCATTTATGCAGATCGAACTGTCATTTTAACTGTTTTCGGTTAGAAAAGGAAAGGAGAAAGTCTGCAGTCTTCGTCTCGCTGTATACTCCTTAACGTGGACACTAATCGCTCTCCCCTTCGTAGAACGTGTCCGGCGTTAAGGAGGCCTCCTGCTAGTCCTCGTCCACGATCTCGCAGCTGTGATACTTGCTCGACGAGTCTAACCAACTTTCCACGCCGCTCGACGCCAGGTCGTCGTAAGACGGCATCTCCGGCAGTGGTTCCATGTTTGGTGCTCCTTTCTTCGACAAGTTGTTCGCCTGACGATCTTTCAGCACGCCTGAAATGAAGAATTTTTAGATTGTACGAAAGAAGAAGAAAAAAAAGAGGAAATGAAATAAAAACTCGAGAGAGAGAGAGAGAGAGATTTTACCATTATCGGAAGACATCGACGTCTCTTTTCTGCGAATCAGTGCTTGCCTGGATGCCCTTGGACTTCTGTATTCACCGCTTATCGTTAACCCAGCGCTGATCGTTGGAAGCCTTATATCCAGGTGCGATCCTTTGTCTGTAACAATCTAACCAGACGTTAGGCTGAGAACGAGATGTTAACTTCAAATCGACTGGAACTTGAAAATATTTGTCGTCATTCACTTCGTCGTTTCTTTTCTCTTTCTCTCTCTCTCTCCAGATGTTTTGTGTGCACAAAAATTGAAGATACTTTCGTGCCGAATTAAAATACGACGAATTGATTGTTACGCAAAGCTGAATTGTGAGTTATGAAAATGCATCGGAAAGTTAATTAAACCAAATGTGCGATAGATGCTGTGAGAATCGATCAGCCGAACAAAAAAAATTCGACAGGCCTGATCTACAGGATGCTTTTCTTTTGTATCGATTAGAAATATATTTGAATTTTAATCAAACCTTTCGGATGCAATAAACGCTCTGTTATGAACGATGTGACCGATAATTGTTATTACCTTGTTGTTCATGGCGTACAGTTTTGTGGCGATGTCTCTAGCAACCAACGTCGTTAAAACTGTCGCGAGATACGCCTCTTTCACGAGCAGATACTCCAGCGCGGATCTTTGCCAGTACAAATATCTGCACGAACTTGCGGCAACGATCGATACCTGAAAATGGACGTGAAAATTGTCAGGACAACACGCAACGACAAGACGAGATGAAGTTCCCCACCTTGAATTTGTCGTCCACCGAGGCTCGAGAACTTTCGAACTCTGGCGAGTCGAGGAACTCGCAAGGCAGGATAGGATGCAGGAAATTCGAGTCGCTGAGAACGTTCACTTTGCCGCTGAGCAACAATGCCAACCTGTCGGTTCGCGTTAGATTTTGCATTGCGTACGCTTCGCCCGCGTGCAGCGACATTATCGACGCGAATTCCGGGGACACCAGCCTCTTAAACTGCAGTCGTGACACCTGTATTTTTTTTTTTTTT